CACCTTTGTATGCACCTCTTGCAAACGTGTAAAACACAACCGTGCTTGTCTTGCATCTTGTAACTTATCTGTTGAGGATGTGCTACGAAACCTGTTACACTCACTAGGCCTATATGCATTACTAGACATCATGGAGCCTTCTCGATATCCACCTCTCTGAGGCCCTTTCGTCACCAATGATTGCATTTTGCTCTCAGACTGCTCTATTCTAGGGGGAGATCTAATAGACTGGAAAACTTGCTCATAGATTGATTGACGCTATCGTTTACCAGTTTCAGGATATCATCAAACCTTGGCTCGATACCCTCATCCTCCATACGGGAGCTTATCTTCACCCACTTCCTTTGCAGTCGAGTAGGTAGACGTCTTGCTATTACTTCTAGTATAAAACTCGAGTTGAGGTCACTCATGCGATTCATCGAAATCATTCCATTCTTGTAAATTAGCAAATAATCTAAAATCTCAGTGAGTGCCTGGGAGTCATCCTGTAATTGACCACCATTACCCTTAACAGCCTCGAATAATTTCCCTGCAATCATCGAAGGTCTTCCAAACCTTTGACGTAACATGCTCATAGCCTCGTAGTAGCCCTCTTTTGGCTTCATAAACTTACAGCACTGTATAGCTCTTGAAGCATCTCCAGTGCAATATCTCATCAAATACATTAACTTCAATTCATCATTTAATAGAAAACCACTCATCATGACCTCAAACTCCTTTACAAATTGTAAATAATCAGCTGGGTTTCCATCGAAACACCGTGGTTCTAATTTAGGGAGTTTGATGTTCCTATTATCCCTGAACGGCGAAACAGTAACATCAACCATGTCATGCTTAACATCAGACACATCTTTACAATTAAGAGACAAGTCACAATGACTTACTTTCCTGTTTGTATCCAAGACACTCTGTCTTTTCTTTGACCCAGGCATTGTTGAACTTGATCCAATTCCAAAAATGTTCCAGATATTGCTTGTTCAAAGAGGACTTGACCGGCACCAGGAAAGATGAACGGCGACTATGCAAACTTTCACCAACTGTTTGAATCCGCCAGATCTGTTTCTATCGTCAGAAACTGTCAATCACGTCTCATAAACCGTTAATGCCCAGCTCTCGCTACGCTCGTGCCCACGCTGTTCTTTGAAGATTTCAGAAACGCTTAGTTATAACGGACGCAAAAACCAAAACACCGATCTGCCGCTTGTTATTTCTTTATTGTTACACCAACATATAAAAGGAATAAACGAACTAAGGTCTGTAAACAAATATTACAATAGTAAATCATTGTATTACTTCTGACGATGTTTCACTCTTCTTTCTGAACAGCGACCGATGAGACGATGACTGTCGTATTGATGCCTCCGCGAAAATTGGGGAAGTTGATTTTGAGCAAACAACCATGAATTGATCGTTCAATCTTCAACTCCATTGACGTTGGCACTTTTTCAAACGTTCAAATTATTGAATTATAGTACAAGGAATCGGAACAGGTTCTTATAAATGTTAAATTGTAAACCGTTTATTATGATCACGAATAGAGTTGAGCAACAACCGAAACTTCGTTCCGTTTCCTGCTGATAGTTATGGCCAGCCGATAAACAACATATACTTGGGCAAGTGCTATGCCGTCACTTGATTAATAGCTATTTCAAGAAGTGGAGAACGTCCTGGGGAGCTGCGAAATGATATAAAATGCAATTGTGGACAACACATCTGCCGGCCAACTCTCATAAACTGCCAATGTCCAACCCTTACTACGCTGAACCTCACGCTGTTCCTAGAAGACTTTCAGAAACACTTTGTATTAACCAACGCGAAAACCAGAACACCGATTGGTGACTCAAGAATCCTTTATTCTTACGCCAACATGTAACCAACAACAAGGTTACTACACGAGGTCTAAGAATAAATGTTATAACAACAAATCACGATAATACTTCTGATAGTTTTTATCTTCCTCTGAACAGCGAACGATGAGACGATGACTGCCGGATTGATGACAGCCGCGAAAAACATCGAGAAGTTGGGTTTGAGCGAACAACCATGAATTGATCGTTCAACCTTCAACTACATTGGCACCATCATTGGTAGTACATTCACAAAATATACTACAAAATAAATACTACACCTGTTGTTTTTTGCCTATTTTTATAATTTTAGATAAAACATTGACGATTAAGATACTTACCCTCAAACAGACAGGAAATTTTGTTTGTAAAACTTCTGCCCAACCGAATACTGGAATAGAATGGACATAAACCCACAACATGAAAAAAGCATAACTCACGACATCACATGGACAGATGTACGCTCGTTGGGCACCATATACACCTCGCCAACTTCAACCCATCTTTCTTATGATAATGTGATGCACTTATATCCATAATGTTGCTGAGCAGTTAATATTCACATCTCCTGTCGGAACAACTAAAATTCAAAAACCTTCCTCACGCGAAGAAAATAGTCACAAGTAGTAGAAATCCTTTAATTAATGCGTCTAAAGCCTATGTATTTTACTCCCAACAATGACATTGCGGGTCAAATGAGATAAACACATCACTGACTTCAAAATAACACATCAATGAACTATAATTCAAGGATTCTGCACACAACAAAGTATTGTACGAAAATTGACTTCAAGCTCTATTTTTTTTCCCAGGCACTTATAACCCATCCACCAAAGACCTGGTGTTTTTGTTAATGCGAAAACAATACTTCTGTATTTCCTGATGTGTTGCACTCACTGACAATCTAGCGGATTTTTCCAACTATGCACAGAAATGATTGTACATAAGTGAAAAGGATGTTTTATACTATTGGGATTAACATTTATCAAGTGTATGTATAATCTCCAGCGTACATGTAAAACATATCTTGCTACCGCCTGTAGATTGTGACTGAATAATATGGTTCTATTTGTGTAACAATTTGATGATGCCTGTAAACTGGCGTCCCCCATGTACTGTACTACGAGAATAAATTTGTTTATTTATTAATATATACGAGAAGGAGATAGTCTTTTGGACAGTAGTATACATTTGCAATGAATAATGCTTACCATATTGGTCTTATCATGGAAAAGATGGCGTTTTCCATGGAAATACTGGTGAGAGCGAAAATTTCAGTTCCTTTTCATTTTATTCACGGATTATATATTGTATGCTGAGCATCATCTTAGGAAGGCATTGTGTTGGATTTAGGGCTCTACCCTGGTGAGTGATGGCGTTCCGAATTTGCCTTAGACAGACTCAGAAGTCTATAGGGAGATGCCAAAGTCCCAATTTACTGTTGAATCCTTCGGCTGAATCGCTGATGGACACCAGTAACTTCGTTCCAATCAGTCAGATGACGACAAATTCAAAAGTTCAATATCCGACAGGTTGACTGCGTTTTGGCGAAGGATTTTGCACAGACATACGGTAGTTTAACTTGCCATACCTTGTTGAGCACGAATAGGCAGAGAAGAGATTTATTCATAACGACTGCCAAGAGGAGAAGTTTGCTGGTTAAAATATGGTGAAGCGGAGAAGCCTGAGGAATTAATGTACCTAGGAATGCCCCTCCATCTGTTTGGCAAGGTTACCCACCTCACTTATCCGCAAAATTGATTGCAAAATGTAACTTCAAAATAGAGCATTGTCCTCAAATACGGTATGCAATATCAGTCGGTTATCCCGGTAGTTACCCATACACGAGTGTCTGTGGCTCAAAAAGTGCAAGGATTAGTAGTACTTTTGGTAGGACTGCTATTATTTAATTGCATATCTTTGATATTGCGCATTGAAAGATGCTCTTCAAAGGTTAGACTACTCGACTAACTAGTAGCAGTAGCTTCAACCTAGATTTGAGAGAGATTATTCGTGGAGTTCGTTTTTGGGTAAGAAGTGGACTACTTGCTGGAATTCACAGGCTGGGAAGAATTGTTCAGCAACGAACTTTAATTAGGGGTATCTTGTTTAGCATGCGTTGGATAAATCATCGGTAATACATATCTTCCTGAGACAGCCAACTTTCTTGTGTAGTTACTGAATGCATGTAAGGCGACTCGCGTCGAAGGAACCCCTGAAATGGGACACTGATAGGCAAGATGTGCTGGGTTTTGCTTCACTTAACCTCTTGCAAGTGCTTCGGGAATCTGATACCTAAGCTTATTTCGGAGGTGTGCCGCCCAAGATTTTGATTTTGCCACTGTCAAAGACATTGAATACTACAGCATTATATAAGCACTGAACATGATCTGTCACCTCTGCTAACCACGGGTAGTCAGATACTTCAAAGTTAAGAAGTAATAAATTAACTGAAAATTGCCCATACTTGCTGGAGTGTGGACTTAGATAAGCGTGTGGTTCAAAGACTACGACCTAAGTGATTGTTCAGAGGTGATAGGTTCTAGTGAAGGTATAGCTACGTTTTAGGTCTTTAGAAAGACAGCTTGATGCAGGGAGTTTTATCAGCAGAGACTCATAAATTAAAAAGAATTGATTATTCTGATATAAAGTGGTTTCATGACTACATATATGTATTGTCATAGATATCATTCATAAAATTATTTACTAAACGAATGGTGAAGGAGGACTAATCTCTGGTATGAACGTGTTTGAATTGTGTGAAAAATCAAGGGAAGGTGTGTCGACGTTCCATGTAGGCTAACTAAGCCTGATTCATACATGTTTTTTCCCTTAAGTCTGCAGCTGACAATGTTTATCGATGCGGAGGTTTGTTGGCCAACATCATAGTCAGCGTTTTTAAAGAAAGAGATTGTCATCTACTGTGTCAATTTAGAGTATATTAGTTTTCAACGGACCAATGCTATTTCTTATGTGGTTGTTATTTGGGAATCTACAGGCACAAAGTCAGTCGTAATAATGTGAACGGCTGCAATGATACGGATGTTAGGGTAACTAATAAATAATCGTGATAGATAACCCAGTCTGGCAAAATTATGTTCTGCATCATAGTGTATAGTAATTTTTAAAAATGTCACTACAGAACTGAGTATATGGATTTCATAGATGAGTAAAGTTAGGAAAGGTAACACAGACTTCGTTAATCCAGTTATTTCAATGAATTCCTCGATACATTTTCACTGTTTAGTAGGTATAGTGTGAATTTGGTTTTGGAAGACTGCCTTTCAAATTTCTTGGAAATTGAAACTGGGACTGTTCTTTTATTCGACAACTATTTGCGGTCAACTGCGAAGCGCGTTGTTCTAGTCTTACGTTACTTCACTCAGACCACATCATGGATACGACTACCCCAGTTGGAACTGCACAAGATGCCAATACCAACGGTTCTAATTTGACAGACGAAGAAAAAGCCAGGCTACAGGTTGAACTATCTCAGGTAACTTTATTCATCACAACATGCATGTAACAGACTAAAGTCAAAGCCAAAAGAACAAACGAAATTATTCTTGTTCTTTCTGCAAATTTGCTGCAAAAATATGCAGACGTTTCTTTCCGGCTGAAAACACATTGAAATACACATAGACTTACGAAGACAGGAACATCTAACTTTTAATTTTACTATACCAAATTTAATGTAAGAGCTGATTTTAGGCACTGTGTAACGTAATATTACACGCTCATTAAGTTTGTTCGGTATAGCACAGTGAGATAGTACTTATAAGTGAGTGATGTGTATTGCTCATAATCACGTCAATGTATTCACATGATTTGTTAACTTGCTTGGTATGGATTTACTCCCTCTTGTTCTTTTATTGCAAATTTCCGTATATCCGGATTAAATGTTATCATATTGGAAAGATGAACAATTGAACTTAAAAAGAGAGGCGATTGAGTTTATTTAAAGCGAACCAGGAATCTGTGTGAAAACAATGATGTTATTCTAGGCAAATAAATTGTACTAGCAACATCCACTTACTTATCTTTTCTGTGTGTTACATCAAATAAGCTTATCTAATACAGCAGACGCATTTAGCACATGGCAGGGAAGTTAGATTTCCATGTAAGTGTGGGACTCAGTCACCCAAATTTGTCAGTGTCCGCATTGTTTACGATTGCATCGGGTGTCGAAATGGGTTGTAAGGATTCATTAGACTTCTCCATGTAACAATAGCGTCTATTTGATAACTTAATACACTTTATTTGAAAAGCCAAACTAGATTAAAATGTATTGCAAACATTGCCTGACACGTCATAGGTTACCCAGTGTCAGGCGTGTGCCCCAAGTCAACGTTATCTGGGTTGTGGGAAATAAAAAGTGGAATGTGATGGCAAAGAACAAACTAATCATTTATAATAAGTCATTTGATTGGAATAACAAAACTCTTGGGATCTGCTAATAATAAAGTACGGCGATGTGATATTTGCCAAGTCATTAGTGAAATTGGTTTCGCACACTACTGCTCCCAATAGGTCTTTCTAATTTTAGCCAACTTAAAATTCACACTCATTCTGATATTTCCCAGAATACTGGGCCAATTTAACAAACATTAATCCGTATCTGGGTGAACATTAGACCATTTTGTAAACACAATCCAGAACACTTTTGGGTGTAATAATATATTTTGGAGTACTTTTTACTTTTCCAGAGATTTTAAGTGAAACAACGGTTGTTTACTTGCAAGTAAAGCTAACTGCAACTAACGTCATCAATATTATATTTAAAAATTTTCGACAACAGTATGAAGTGTTACCTACAATGATTAATACATACAAAGATTTCGTTTAAAGTTCACCAAATTGTTCTGAATCCTCGAGATTTTGGCTAAAGTGCTAATGCCCAATCATTCAAGTACAATCTACTTTAGACACTTCATCGCATATGATGATTATTGTGTTGCATCGGTCTGGGATATTTCATACGAGTTATTGTCCTGGAGATTCCATGTAATATGTTTTTATATGATTTATTCGGTCAGTAAAGCAAATCCTTTCTAGCTATTCTTTCTGTTGAAATGTGCGTCGGTGGTATAGTGGTTAGGACGCTCGCCGACCATGTACATGGTCCGAGGTTCGATCCCCTACCGACGCACACCTGATATCTATGGTCGGCCTGCAAATTTGGGCTACCGATATCCACGCTGAAAATTCCATACTTGTACCAAAAATACAGTGTGGAATCAAGCTGTAATCAAAAATTAAAAATTAAATTATCAGTTAGAGACAATCGAACTCTTTTCAAGACATTTAAGTGCAACTTCAGTGATAAATCTTTCATGTAGCTTAAAATATTTAAATGCTGACCATGTGTTTTGTATTACTTCAGACTCACTAGTTAAATTACAAGTTTCCTGACCGTAGATGTTACTGATTTCCTGGATTAATTTGAGCTCCGGGTCGGATTGAATCAATATAAATTATCTAAGATAATCCCAGCGTGTTTAAGGAAAAAACTACAAGAAGCTGTGGCTTGCACAGAGAAACGTTCAGAAAAACCGGTTATGATTTCTTCTTAAACTCTGGGATTATTTCAATTAATTTATGATCGTTAGTTAAATATTCCCTCATTCCAATGTAATGATATTTCCATTAACAGTATCTGGCACCTGTTTTGACCTTATAATTCAAGATATAGTAACAGTATTATGCATACGAGCAGCTGTTAGTAACCATGTGCAAAGTCATATTCGAACATTTTGTCCATCACCTTTATCTCATAAATCCAAAATTTCTTTACATTATTTTTTATTTTGTAGGTTGAAGAAGAAATTCGTCTACTTCAAGAAACTCTTGCTGTAAAAGTGCGTCGATGTAATGAGATAAAGAAGAGTCTTGGTTATACCTCACTTTCAACCTTGCAACATGATCTCATGGAAAACATTCACAAGTTAGAGGATACAGAAGCGTAAGATATATATATATATATATATATATATATATATAAGCTCATGTTTGGATGCTTTGTTAAACTTACGATCTGGGTTGTTGAAGGGCATTCAAACCTTTATACCAATATGAGACAATGGTTTGTCTGATACAAGTTGTGCTCAAGTCATCTCCAGTGGCTAATACCATTAGTTTTACTTTCCTTCACCCAATAAATAAAGATGTATGAATTAGTCTGGTTAGTCCGTCTGTCTGTTTTCGACATAGAACTTTGCACCGATGTGCAGCAGTTCAAGTCACCACACTCCCTCCTTGTAGCACACAAAGCAAGAGAACAAAGTAGAAGAAATGCATAATATGGACAGTAAACAGAGGTGTGGGACAAAGGAATAGTAATAACGAAGAATGATATAGTTTCATTGGAAATCATAAGTCACAAGGAGTGGATGCATCTGCGCCAGCCATTGAGAACGATCACTTTGAGCCATATCATCAATTGTTTCCAACCATTGGATTTTACCGTCCCTAGGACCCCAACCAGTCAGGAAGTCTACACCTTCCTACGTGGCTTAGACCAACTGTTGTCGATTTCATCGACTGGTGATATGTTTCGATTTGACCGCCGCTAGCTCTTTTCCAGCCTGACCCTATATCAGCTAACGTTGCCCGTCAGTCGAGGAAGGCGATGACTAGGCATACGTAACACATGTCCTAACCATCTCAGTCGGTGTAATTTCACAGCCTCGTCGATTGATTTCCCCTCCTTACCTAGCACTCGACCGAAGCCTAATCTCAATATTGCTCACCTTATTATACCACTTCACACGGGAGATGGAGCGCAAGCACCTATGATCGAAGACAGCTAATCTTTTCATGTTTTCTGCTCTCAATGGCCAGGTCTCACAGCCATAAAGGAGGACGGAGCAGACTGATGAGCAGTACACCCGCCCTTTGGTCGATAGCCAGCCGGATATCACGTCTACACCAGAGACGACGTGAAGTGGCATATACTAAACTAGCTCTTTGTATCCGTACTGAGATTTCGTCAGAGATCAACCCGTTGGCACTGGCTGATGGTACTTCCCAAATAGGTGAAGCGGTCAACGCGCTCGACCACTTCACTCCCTATTTATAAACTAGAAGTCAGTGTATTCCAGTCCTGTAACATCATCTTACATTTGGCGGGAGCGAATCGCATAATTTTTCTATTATGTTCAGATAAGGTTGCAGGAATATGTCATGCACTAAAGTACCTTCTGAGTGTCATTTAGTTCTTATAACTTCTCATACACATTACTATTATGTACAATGTCATATTCCCGAAAAGCTAGACGGCTATAATCATTACTTCTAAATAATCTTTATAACTACCAGTTAACAATAAACATAAGGCTATCTGGCATAGAAAAATAAAAGCATATCATGAACCTGAGAATTCAGGTTTGTTAACTAATACCTTCTTAAGTCACTAACCAAAAGCATCCTTCAAAAATTGATTTTCAAATTTATAACATCTTGTTAAATTAACTAGATACACACTTTACTCGTCTCCCGATTAGTCATTGAACAGTCGGTTCACATTCTTATCTGTTTTATCTCAGATCCAGTGTAAGTTAACATTAATCCACCATCGTATATCCAGGTAGTTGTGTGGCTATTGGTGTTGTGAGTTCTCTAACGCATCCCTTGATACCCTTATTCTGTTAAATTTGAGTTTAAATAATATGTATAATAAATACTACCATTATTGAGAAGTCATCAAGTTGCATTTGTGATAAGCACCTGTAATGTAAGTGTAGAACTTGGACACTGTAGTAGAATGTAATTCTATACTAGGTAAGCTTATTTTAATAATCATACAGTGATTCAGTATTGGCAACTGGATGGCTTTTTGACCACAAATTATTGCTCAAAGAATCATGATTCGCAAATCATCGTATTTTTAACATTCGATACTTGCAAAATGGAATTATTCCTAAGTATCTTCGTATACGCCTTCCAGTTAAAACAAGAATGGTGAAAGCAGCGGGAGAACACCTCAGTAGACTCTATTTAAGAGAGGAGATCCATAGAATCATCAAGAAGCGCCTGTAGTCTTTAAAATATTAATTTGCAGTTATATGGCGCTTTGTGTTGTTTGTTCATCTTAGTATTATATTTTTGTATGCTTCCATGAACTTTAGCAACTTGAAATTATTCACCTTTTTGCAAAGTTATCAGTTCATTTCGACTTTTTATCTGCTGGGTTTAATTTCAATAATCAATAACTCTATTGTTAGTCAAATTGTAATATTACACAACTATTTAAGTTAGTTTTGCACTTCCTTTCTATTGATTTTTAATGGACCGAATGTTCGTTCTCTGTTGGCACTTAGTGCGCACGCTTGGATTGTGTCTGAGGATTAACATGATTTTATTTGGTACATTGTGACTAACAATCGAATCCAGGAGGCGTGTTTCGTCTTATTTGGTGAACTTTTAACTCCCTGGGAATAATGGTGTTCCTGCCGAGACTCGAACTCAGAACCCATCCACTAAATCACTGCATGACTATTTTAACTGATCAAGCCTAGAGAAGGTGTCTTTTCGTGTAGAAAAGTTAAAAGTTAATGTTGATTGTTTCTTGTTACTCGTATTCTCTGACCATTTGTCCGTTCATAATAATTTGCCTTTTTTGTTGTTGTTTTTACTGCTATACAGGTATATTAAAACTACTGAACTTATAAGCAAAGCAAAGGATAAAACGGTAACTGTAGCACAAGACGCTAAAGAAAAAGTGGAGTCAACTATCTCTGCCATTCGGTAGGTTGTCGTCATACGATGCCTTTTACCTATTTATCTTCGATATTTTTTTTTAGAAATTCAGAGGTTGTTAAGTCAATAAATGATAGAGTTGGCACAGCTTATTCAACTGTTAAGGTGAGTTCTTTTTGATTGTTATGTATGCATGTGTTTGTACAGAATGGAGAAGTATCTTGATGTTTGACCATAAATTTTCTTATTGTTCTCCGCTTAACTCGTTCTCACTGACCAAGTAATATCATAAAGTCTTACATATTAAGTATTAATTATAGCTTAGTAAACAAAAAATCAATTCATTGCTTATTATATTCGTACACTAATTTCCCATAATTGTTTCGCTTGTAGAGCTGCTAATCATTGGTTTAGACACCTGAATTTCAGTCATTTTTGTATCACTTCAATTGTGCCTCATTCTGTCGTTTGGGAAGCCATGTAGTATAATTAAGGCTCATACATTGCGTATAACTTGTTTCCGGGTACATGTAGGTTCAACTAGTTGTTACCTAACATCTCATTTGTAGTTTTTATCATTAGATTCCCAATTTTTGTATGATTGGATCAACCGACAAATAAGATAAATTGATTCTCACTTATCATCGAATTCTAAAATTTTTTGACTAATAAATCACATAATTAGAATTCGGTCACCTGGAACAGATTTTGAATGTATCATATTATAGGCTACACTTAGAGTTGATACTACTCAGTTTCCCAGACTAAAGTAGGTATAGTAGGACTCGAATCGGTGACACCCATCGCTTGATGGTTGAGCACTCAAACAAATTCAATCAATTGGAATAAGAATTTAAGTTCAAGGCTTTCTTCTCCTTCTTTTCTTCATGACATGGAAAACACTAACTTCAGTAACTTTATGACTAATGATTAGAAAGTAAAGTGCCTCTTTGCAACTTGGCACTCATAAACTTTATCCTTAACAATGTTATGATGGAAACCAAACTAGAATGGAACAACCAAACTATCTGTGGCTCTTTAGGTCTTGGTAACTTCCTGGTTATTGAATTCTCACAAGCTCCACAATTTAATAATAGTGTTGTACATGTTTATACTGATATATAACTTGGTTATGCTATTTACCTAAGTCCTTAGAATGCTAGATAGAATTTAGAGCAATAGTGGCATTGTTCTGTGCACCCGTTGAGCTCTGATTGGTGTTGATAATTAGACAGTGTATATGTCTGTGCATGGGAGTCACATGTGTATAACGACCAGCTGTTGAATGCTTTGGCGTTAACCTGTAGTAAGTTATTATAAGAGCGTGTATAAAATACTATACTTAAGCTTGGTTCTGTAAAGCTATCAATCAGTCAGCACGACGATATGAAGAAGAGAAAAAGTATAACTATGAAGTATGTTATTGACAATTAGGCAAACCTGTAAAAAAGCACTTATCTGACGCACAAAAGATGACAAGATGAGATAATCTAGAAAACTTGAAGTGTTTTTGGCTTGTGGGAATTTGATTGGTTTCAAGTTAAATCACGAGTCGATAGCAGTTAGGGGACTATTGAAAACCAAGGAGTTCTAGTCAGAAGTCTTGACTAGTCAGGTACAATAAGTCGGATGTGATGACAAATACTCGGCAACGAAATTGGCTGGCGGTGGTGATATGTATCGTGAATCAGCGAAAGCTAGAAATCATGGGTTCACTATTTTCCGTCCCAGTGACCAAATGGTCAATATACTCTCCTTGTGGCGTGCAGGTCCTGTACTTTTTTTCTTGCGGTGGGGTGGTGGATGCATGCTGATGAAGAATGCAAACTAGAACGAAACAGTTGTTTAGTACTCCTTGTTGGTTTCCTGGGATTCTTTAACTGAAGTCATTTCGTGATCTACCTTGATACTAATCTATAAGTCATGAAAAGTATGAAAAATTTGACCAGATATCTTGAATTTTGTAGTACGTATGAGAATTGTATTTTATTTTTAGTTCTTAATTAATTAAATGAAATTCAGCCTGTGTCGTCTTAAATGAAAACAAAAGTTCTTTAATTAGTATATTATTATTATTCTTAGTGTATTAAATAAACTGGTAACCTTATTGGATTTAGGGTTTAGTTAATTAGACAGTTAAACAGTGTATTGTAGACAAATGCAATAAGGTCATTTATAGTATTTTTATCTTACTTATACACTTCGTTTTTTTGGTAATTAGCTCCTTATATTTCAGAATATACAAAAAGTTTTATTTTTATTTACATTATAAGTCTTTAAAGTTTAGCGTCAGTAACTTTTCTGGTTGGTATTAATATGAGCATTATTACTGTTTGTAGCTATTCGCAGTGCCTTATAGAGATGTAGTAAGTCTTGTATGTGAGGAGAGTTTAAGTGCACATACAGCTCTGCGTTTGTGCATGCTTTCGAATGCATTGTCTAGACAGTCAGTCCTTATTAGTTAATTGTCTCATCTTCCGAAAATCCTGTTGTAGTTCAGTTATCCGGGACAAGTTCCTCATTTACAAAGCTATAAGTCACACTTGTTTGTGGTGGGGATTGATATTCTTAGCCATCATTTCCTTAGGCTGAAATAGGTGGGCCGAGATTTGAAACCCTGGACCCACCGGCTGAAATTTGATTGCATAAGCCAGTGAGCATGGAGGAGTGTTTCAGTGATAGAATACTTGCCAACCACACTTTTGGTCGGGGGGTTGATTCTCGGCTGACTCACTCTTCAACTTAGCTCCTTAACAGGTAGTCAATCTGATACAGAGGGGAGGTTAGGCGTTTGGCTAGCAAACTCACCCCCAATATAAAGAAAAACACTACTGCTACTAGAACTTCACAGCTCAAACTTTAAGTCTTATGCTGTTCTATTTGGGACGTGAAGGAGTCACACGTCTACTTTGGAATACACTAAAACGACTTGAGTTTTGTTACATAGAAATATCACCCTAAATCTCGGTGATGAACAAAACACGTTAAAACACACTAATCATTTGCATTGGTTTGTTGTTTTCATTTGTTTATCATAATCGAGAGAATTTCACCATAGTTTCGCAATATTCATTGAGATGTGTGTTTTTTCATACTTAAAATCTCATTAAATTAAACTTAGTTCATGTTCATGATAGACAACGTTAGAGTATGTACACGTGTGTGTTGACAACAATTTTTTTTCGTATTATTTCATAATCACTGTTCAACCTAATTTTTGTGTATAGTTGTATATCAAGAGTTTTATAATTTAAATATTATGTATGTATAATATTTTAGATACTTTGTTCGGAAAATTTCATCCATATACCAGCTATTACATGGTATCCATTGAAGAAAACAGATTAGTGTGCGTCTCGAATACTATGTTTGTGTGTAATCACACTCTGTATATGTGTATATCAATGCACGTATATATGTGTGTGTATGAGTTTATACGTCATCTGTGCTATGTGTTGTAACATTACATTTTGATTTTATTTATTCTCTTCATAGAATTACGTGAAAATAGATATTGACTGTAGATTAAGTTTATATAATGATAGCTTCACCTATTTCCTTACTATACATTAATTAAGATTAATAAACAGGATATATATTTAGTACAACCGCCAGTGTCACACGCGAGTAACTATCCTCTTGCCTAACTTGGTGAACCATCGGGTCAGGTCCTAGTGGCTGAATGGTCTAGAAACTCGCCTCGAAACAGAAGGGCCCTGGGTTCGAACCCCGGTGAGTACGTTCTGACTAGGATGAAACATTTGTCCAATACTCCCGTTTGGTTTTCTCAATGGTTCTCTAACTGACGTCAGCTCGTGATTAACCTCGTAACCAATCAAATCCCTGCAAGTCTACACTAGATAATAAAAAATATGGTTAACTATTTATATAGTTTGGCTTTTTTCGTTGTGTTATATGTAGTTGCGTGCAGATGGAACTGTTAACCGGTTGATTATTAAAATGGAGTATTCTCTACCTTCCTTGCAACTCGAATTGTAACACAGATTTCAATCTATATCTTAATAATAATAGTAATAACAATTTTATTATTTATTTATTTAAACGCATAAAAACTTGGTACAATATGGCACCAAGAAGGATGCTCCACACAATAATAATGAAACAACATAGATCAAAAGATAGAAGAGAATATATATATAAGTAGAGAACGGATAAAGAACTTCATCTGGAAGGAAGTTAACAAGTTCAAACAGTATTCGTTAACTATCATCGGGAAGGGAAGAAAGAAGGAAATTGCAACACGTGTAATAGCACGCGATAAGTTTCATTGATTGTTTGTTGCTTCATTCAATTCATTGTGTGAGGGCTGAGATACTGCCCGGGCGCCCAGACCGAAGCAGGTGATTTTATTAAGGGACCACCCCCCGAGCCTTTGACTTGCAGTCTAATCCGCAAGGCAGCGGAGCAGCGTCAGGAGCTGCATTTCCATGGTTACCGGCGACCCATATGGATTCATACGCCATTTGGTCCCATTAGATTCTGGAGCCCATGTACCTCATGGTAACTACTTTTAGTTTAACCGCTATCCAATAATAACAATGGCTTTATTTGAAGCAATATTTTCGATACATTGTGGAGTTGTTGACTGTGTGACTGTGTTGGATCCCCAAGGCTCTAAGAAACAATGGGCTTAAAACTGTTGGTAATATGTGTCAATGTTGTGCAATTGCATATACTCTTTATAATTGCCTAGATCCATTAAATCCTCATTGTTCCCCATGGGATTCCCCTTTTGTATGGTCTCTTGAATTCAATGTAAGGGTGGAATTTGGGCACTGGTGGAGTATAGTTAGTTGTATGTTCTTCTTTTACTATTATGTGTACACTTTTATAAAGTGTAGCAGAATAAAACTGTAGAATTGAATTCTGTGTAAAAATTTATGTCGATACTAGACAAGAATTAAGTGTTGTCACAGACTTTTTTATTGTTGGGATTATTAAGTAAAAATCGACCTTCAGAGCCTTGATTATTGCATATCATTCCATTGAATCATTAGTAGCAATTTATTGAGGTGTTCTCTAATGGCCTTAAAATACTAAAATATCGTATATTCTTCAAGCATATACTGCTTTAAGAATGTAAATGGTGACCGCGTAAAGCTGTTTTTAATTTCAGATATATTAAACTGCGAATTACATAATAT